ACATGTGAGGCTCTGGGTTCGATCCTCAGCACCACATAATAAAATAAATAAATAAACAAACAAATAAATAAATATATCTCTATATCTATATATTTATATATAGATATATAGATATAAAACTGTACCATTAAAAAAAGGAACAAAGTTAAAGGCATCACAACACATAATTGCAAAACCTAGTATAAACTATAGTCATTGAAACAGCATAGTACTGACATAAAAACAGACACAAACCAATGGAACAAAATAGAAGATCTACAAATGAATCTACGTATTTACAGCCAACCAATTTTTGACAAAAGGACAAGAGTATACATCAGAGAGAGAATTAATATTGTTAAAAAGTCATCTTACTCCAGTATGGAGATTCCTGAAAAACTGAAAAAAAGAGCTACCATGTGATCTGGCATTCCCACTTCTACTGGACATAATATCCAAATGAAATAAAATCATATCAAAGAGATACCTGCACACAGTTGTTTATTGTAGCACACTATTCACAAGAGCCAAGAAATGGAATCAACTGAGATGTTCAGTGATAGATGAATGTATAAACATGTGATATATATATATATCATGAAATATTATTCAGTCACAAAAAGATGAGAATCTGTCATTTGTGTCAACATAGATGAAACTGGAGGACATTATGTTAAGTGGAACAACCAGGCACTGAAAAATAAATACCGTGTTTTTTCACTCATTTGTGAAAGCTAAAAAAGTCCATCACATAGAAGTAGAGTGCGAGAGAGGTCACTAAAGATTAGGAAGGGAAGGGGTTGGAGACAGAGAGAGGTTGGATAATAGAGTTGGAAAATAGAGTTGGAAGGTGGAATCAACTCTGATGTTCTAGAGCACAATGGAGTAGCCATAGTCTATAACAAATTATTATACATTTCAAAGTGACTAGAGAAGAGCTTGAAGGTTCCAAAAACATAGAAATAATAATATATGAGGAGACAGAAATGTCAATTATTCTGATTTCATCATTACATATTATATTTATGTACCAAATTATAATGCTGTACCCCATACATAAATACAAACATGTCAATCAAAAAAGAGTAAAATTTGAAACTAGAATTGGCTGTAAGTATCATTTACTTTTAACCATATTGATTTTAGGTCTAATTAAAAAACAGATAGGGATATATATAATTCCAGCAGGCTTCACTCTGTTGTTCATAGTCCATCTTGACCTTGGGGGAAGTTCAAGAGTATATAGATGTGCAAGACTTTAGGTTTATCTAGACACACAAGTCCATTAAGCTGAATAATTAAAATTAGGAATATATATATGTATATATATATGCATATATATGATATATACTTTAATAAAAACATCAAGGGTAAAAAAATAAAACCAAAATAATCTCTGAATTTATAGTGTCATGCCTTAAAATCTTTCATGTAGCTGCCTTATATTAATGTAGTTGCCTTATATTAACTAACACTGGAACAACTCTGTCCATGGAAGACACTGAAGATGGAGAATGACATCAGTATCTTGCTCTACAGTGCTTCAAAACACTTTATATAAAAGGCACAACTGTTCTGGAGTTGTTTGTAGAACATTCTAGTATGGAAGGCATTTTGAGTCTGTTTCAAAGGCACAAAAGCAGATTTAGTAGAGAAATTGATCAACATCTTAGCATGAAGTGCAAGGGTTCTCTTTTTTCTAGGTGTGGGTTTTCTTTTGACAAAGGATAATCTACTTTTAAACACTTTCATTTTTGTGTGAAATATATTGCATAATGATTTTAATGCTTACTTTTCAGCATGATATATACATAGAATTAGCAAAAAATTTGAATATTATTCATTGATCTGATTCGAATAATAAATATAAAATAATTCCTATTGAAAAATAGTACTTAGAAATCCAGGGACCTTAGGCATAAAAGGAAAGCCAAATATTTTTGGAAGTTAGTCACCATTATTAATAGGTTTTGCAGCAGCAAATCAAATGTAATGCTAAACTTCTGAAATGAATGAAAGCATTCTGCAAAAATGTGACATGATAGAACAGAAGGTTAGTTATTATGTAGGTGGGTGTGTTAAGAAGTTGTTCTTAGAAATTCATGTTTCTACTTCACATTAAAATTGAAAATTTAGTCCATAGTGAAAAGAAGACATCTGTAGGATAATAAGAGTTTTTCCTTTTCACCAAGTATCCAGACCACTTTTACATAACATATATTACCTAAGCTCCAAATTATGGGTCAAGGTATCTGTTTAATTTCTAATAAAATTCTTCGTTGTAATATGCCAACATAAAATTTATTCACAGCCCAAGAATCAGTTTCAAACTGTAGTAAAAAGGGAATACCCGAAAGAATAGTATTGTTAATAACAACAAAAAAATCCTATGCCCCCACACAAAGCAAAAGCCTATTTTTAAAGCTATTCTTATTAATTGTCCATTTTATTTAAGAAATTTCCTCAAAGTCAGTTGTCTTCAACAGTGGAATGTTTCTTTCTAGATACTTTTCATGCCCTGTTGGGGAATGTTACTAAATTATAGTTCAGAAGAAGGAAACAGATATATGTCCATTTGTCTAATACCAAGGTATTGGTAGATTGGTCAGTTTTTAATTTTCTTAAATTGGAATATTGTCTTTGGAGGCGGAGTCAGTTGCAGAATGATTCATGTGTCCTGATTATGAAGCACCTTGGGCATCTGGGCTCTAGTCACATTCTGTTTTCTTCAAAGTTAACAAATTTATAGTGAGTGCTTAATTTGGGATATATCAAAAATATTTTTTTTCTGTTTAATAATTGATTTAAGTATATATATTTAAAATTTTGAGGGGGTACTGGGGATTGAACTCAGGGGCACTCGACTGCTGAGCCACATCCCCAGTCCTATTTTGTATTTTATTTAGAGACAGGGTTTCGCTGAGTTGCTTAACACCTTGCTTTTGCTGAGGCTGGCTTTGAACTCATTATCCTTCTGTCTCAGCCTCCTGAGCAGCTGGGATTACAGGTACCACTGTGCCCAGTGACTTAAGTATATCTTAATTGTGACAGTTGAATAAATAGTTTGGTCAACTGATGAAGCAAAGGATGAAAAATTTGAACAAAGAACCCATCACAAGGTATCCAAAGGATTAGACCTGGGACAGCTGATGGTTTGTTTTTCTCATTGTATACGCCTCTGTGTAACTTTCTTTACTACACTTGAAAACATGAGGGTAATGAAGAAAGATAAAGGAACTGCACACACAGTTGTATACATGATAGGGGATTATGAGGCACTCTTACACAGATACTGCACTTTCCAGGGGGACAAAAGTGGATACCACTGGCAATTATTCTAAATTGAAAGACCAATGTGAAAGTAAACATCAGGGTGAAAAGAACTGTTCTGCAGGGTACTAGCAGGTGCTTCCAAAAGCAAATTAAAGCAAAAAATACCGTTAAGAAGGGCCTTTACCCACATCCCCAATGTTAAAAAGCCAATGATTCTCAAAATCTTCAAGTTAAACTGCTGAGCGGCTGGGGTTGTAGCTCAGTGGTAGAACACTTGCCTAGCTCATGTGAGGCATTGGGTTCCATTCTCAGCACCACATAAAAACAAGTAAAATAAAATCCATCGACAGCTTAAAAAATATTAAAAAAAAAACATTGAGAGAACATGTATTTTAAAAAAAATCCTTCCTTAATCAGAATGAGGTTAAATGAAATACTTGGATTCCACAGTCTAATTTTGCATTTCAATAGGGTTGACCCCGTATTTTCAGTGTACCCCAAAATAGCATTGTGCAGTAACTTTTTGATTCCTCCTATTCCCAATACATAGAGCACTACCATGGTGCACATAGCACTTGCATTTCATATCTTCTTGTGCTAGAATGAAAATTATTTAAAGACAGAGAATATGTTTTATTCCTCTCCATTTTTTTTCATCTAACATAGTATATGGCATGTAAGAGGTGTTCAATAGATGTTTATCAACCAAAGTACTCTGGATATATATAATAACAGGAAATGTAATTTCTAGGTAAATATTAAAATCAGACACATCTGCATTTTCAACGATGTATTTTCATTCATATTGCAATAGCAGTACATTTTCCATGTTTCAAATTCAGAGTGTTCTCTGTTGAGTCCTATTTCAGAGCACTATTTTATTTTAAAGGCAGGCAAAGAAGCAATCCAAACTTGTTTCTCTGTGTTAAGCTAACATGGGCTTTAAAAAAAATAATACAACACTATGATTTTCACCAAACTAGGAAAGGTTATTTTGGAACTGCTTGGATTGTAGATATTTGAAGTAGTAATTACTTCCTCCATAAATGTTACCTTTTAGAGTCAAATACTATTTTCCTGGTGCAGTTCACTTTTTGCTTAAAGGAAAATCTCTTTTATTCACAATTCACCATGCTGTATTATTCCATGCAGTAACTATATTTTTACTTGTTTTGATGGCATTATGAAGTCCATGAAGCATCATTATAATGACAGTAGCTTACCTTTATTCAGCCCTTATTCTGTACCAAACACTTAGCTAAGCCCCTCACATGTGTATTATCATCAATGCCCACAGATAATCTATAAAGTGAATGATTTTGGATATCTCTATCTCCATCTCTGTCATCTCCCTGTATCTATCTACTTATCTATTCATCCCTCTATCCATCAGTATCTATCATCTATATGTCAAGGAAGTTTTTAAGTAGCAAGTGGCATTCTTAGGATACTAATGCAGGAGAAAAGCCTTCTGCAGTTTTGTGTTCTTGGTTCTTTAAAGTTATGAGTGTTTAGTAACAAAATTTAATTACATATTTTGCATAATTCTGGATTCATGGCCTGTTTTAGCAAACTTACTGTATTGTCATCGATTAAACAAACATGTGTGTTCAGGGTGGTGAATACTCCAAATCGACATGGCAAAGACTCCAAGAGTGTTTCTTCTATATTGAATGGATACAATATCAACTCTCATCTGATAGTCACAACACTTACATGTTGAGACTGACTTCTTATTTACAACTTACCATTGCCTTGGGTTTGGTTCCAGAAATGGTCAGTGGGGTGGAAGATGGTAGATCAGTGGACTCAGTGTTAGAAGGCAAATTTACTTGTGTCTGATTTACTAAAGTAGTATCTGCTCCACTTTCAGATCCCGATTCCAGATCCTATTAAAAACAAATGCATTCATATGAATGACGTGTGACTAATCCCTCTGTGCTCATTTCCCTGCCACCAGCCCCTTTCCACTTCCTTCTGTCAACACACATTTAAGGGTTGCTAACACTGACATGTCACTCAAAATCATATGATTTCATAATAACAATCATACTCTTCTGAGGGTCTGAAACTACTTGAGAGAGAGGTATCATACAACTTGAGTAATTTAACAACATAATGCCAATTGGAAGGGGTAGGTGGGAGAGCTAGCTAGGGCATAGCAGTAAGAGTTAGGAGGTAGAAGACCATAGATACCCTTTCTCACTATGTGACCTTGAGTAATTCAATTAACACTCCACACACTACAGGAGGGCGTGAATTATGTTTTGTCATGTGTGATTCAATGATCCTGTTTGAAAATGGGTATGCTAATGATATGCACTCAGAGAATTTTATGAGGATTAAGCAAGATATATAAAAAAGTGCATGTAACTGTGCGTGGTCATTTTCATTAAATGTTAACCATTACTAGAAACATTATTTATATCATATGTCTTCTTAATAACTACTTCTAAGACACCCGTTGAATGATGCAATCATTTGGTAACCTCTGCAAAGGCTGTGCATTTAATTTATCAAATGTTCTCTTACAGGTGAACTGACTGCAAAGAGGAAAGGTGAGAGTATAAGAAAGTGGAGAGGAGGGCAAAGGCACATGTCACCCCATGCTTTCAACCTGAGAAAAAATGAGTTAAATATCTCTGCATCTACTCTTTTTACATCTCAGCCTCACCACGATCTAGTGGTCAAATATCTTCCCTGAACCCCAACTTTCTGACTATATGTTTTACCATTCTTTGGTTTCTTAGGATGCTCTGGTAGTACTGCCTGTTTTCAGTTCTTCTAGTAGATCAAGCTGGTGTCTACGACAGGGACTATGCTCTTTCTTTGAAGCAGCTGTTAACTATTTAAAGCCAAAATAGTTTCCTTCCTTTAACATTTGCAATATCTTTTTGTTAACATCTTCTTGTTCACCATACCTTATTTATATTTACCATCTATCAATAAATCTGTTGGTTTTTTGTGCTATCTACCTACCTATCTACAGATCCATTCCTCCATCTTTTAATCTTTGACAATTAGAAGGCATGCATCACAAAAGCAGGAGCTTTGCCTGACGTGCACACTGATATATCTTCAGGTCTTAGAACAGTGCCTGACACATAGAACATGGTCATGTAATATTGTTTTGTAAAAGAACAACTGCATAGATAATACAAACCTTTCCTTTCTTCGTCTTCACAATGTAAGTATTTTTTTTTGCTATAAAATTATAAAAAATCATAAATAGAATTGAAACTCAGTTTTCTTCAGTTGTAATGGTATAAAAGACATATACTAATAAAGACGAAGAGTAATAAATGATGAAGATTATACTGCATTCTTTAATAACGTGTTTGTGTATAAAGTACAAGACTGTAACCAAATTTCTGATGTTTGGAGTGACTTCAGATCAGGCCATCTATTTTATTTGCATATTTATTTTTCTGCATAGAGAAAGCAAGAAACATTTTATTCTAGATAAAATATGATTCATTTAAATTTCAAGCATCAAATAAGTAGTCGGTAATAGCAGGTAATTTTTGAATATTATCTAATGCATACTCATAAGTAGCAGGTAATTTATAATCCATTTATGTTTGACCTTTTGTAGATCAAAAATTGGTTGCAATTAATTTTGCCCTCCTGTTGATGATTTGATTAGGTAATTAACTGGGTAATCCTGCAACTTTCTAACCATGCAAGGGTTCTGAGGTGAAATAATATATTTAAATCAAAGACTACCCTCTTTTTGTGTTTTTGCCTTTTACAGACCTTTCCTCACCGCCCATATCTTCCTCCGTGGTCATCACCCCTGTGTGGGAGGTTCTATTATCATCACTTGAGAGATGATGAAGCCATGACCTGGGGTGAGTCACTCCACTCAAGTCACGCTTTCTCACAGAGCTGGCATTGAAACTCAGGCCTTTCTGACCTCAGGGTTCAACCTGGTAAACTAACTCCATCTGTATTATTGAGGTCCTAAACAACTAAGTAACTGATGTAATAATGTGCAGTTTGGCAGAAATCTTTATCATTTTCTCTTCTTTCCTCTGAGAAATGGCTACAGCTTACATATTTCCTAAACTACCCCCATGGTATGGATGAAATATCTCAAGAGATTGTATATCCCTTTGATTACACATTGTCCCCCTATTAGTAACTCAAAACTCAGAATATTTTATTATTAAGAAAAAAGGACCCTATCAGACAAGAGGATTATGGTTCAGGAAATGATGTTTATCCCATTGTCAATGAAAAATTTGCATCTTGGAAAGGTTTATAATATAGCAGGATAAACATGGCTTTTCTGATGTGCAAGTAATCTCACCAGTTGGGTGACTCCAGGTAAATTAATTACCACTTCCCAACTGTGTGGCCTTGGGTAAGTTACTTATCCTTTCTGAAACTCAGGTTTTGCATTTTAGGATTGTCAAGAGGATCAATGAATTAACATATACAAAGATTAATGCTTACTAAACACTACTATCTGTCACTTATCCCATGAGATTAGCTATCTTTAGCCATCTTGAGATACTGACATTAGTAAATGCTTGGATTAAGTTGGGTTTGGGACTGCAAAAGAGTATCTATCAAGGTATCACCAAATTGTGTGGATCTAGTTAGGCAGACTCTTTAAATCTTTATCTCAATCTTTATTTTAATATTTGTTTCATTTTTAACATTTGTTTCATGTTAAAATCATTTGATTCTAGCCTATATTATTCTTCATATTCTTTATTATATGTAGAGTTAACTTTGGCATTTTTTTCATAAATATTCTCAAACTGGGGCTGGGGAACAATCATGGTTTCACTGTATGTCTTATTCTTCTTGCTAAACTATAGATTCACGGTGGAGTGGGTGGGTGGGGTAGAGGCAGTGTCTCCTCTGAATCTGGGACAGTGTTCCTTGGTTAATGATTAAGGTCATAATCATGCCATTATAATCCTCTTATTCCATGGCACAATTATCAAAAGGAATGGAAAGTGCTTGTGGAAAAAAATTTGATGATGAGAGAATGTTAAAATTAACTTTAAATACCAAGGAACATAAATACAGACCCTGGGGTGACCTAGAAAATCATAAAGACCAAAAAAGAGTTTTGAGGCATGAGGAACTTGTCTTGTTCATCTTTAGCCCTCTGCCTGATGTGGGTACAGGGCAAAGGGACAAGAATTCACCATTACCAAATATGTATTCTGTGCCATAACTATGCAAAACATATCACATACATTCTTTCATTTGCTTCTCCCAATGAGACATCCATTAAGAAACAACAACTTTCATTTTTATATGAAATTAAATAATTTGAGAAATTAAATAATTCTTTTATGTTCCCAAATAGTCAGTTATAAAACTGGAATTTGAACCAGATCTGTAGCCACCAAAGTTCACAATGTTTCTACTATGGTAGATTCTGACGATAAAAAGAGAGCTAAGAAATGAATCTCTAGTTGCAGAAGCAATTGTTGTGGTAATTTTCCACAAGCTAAATTGTGTAATATAAAATCCAATTTACAAATTTGAATGGAAGCAGAAAATATAGGTGTAGACCAATTCTAAGATCATAACATATTAACTCCTATTTTTGTTTGTCCTTATGTAGCTAATAAAGGTTCGGTTGCTTTTTGAGATAGTAACAACAGTATGGAGTTGTATTCAGCAGAAATCTGGGGCTGAATCTTTCTCCTAAATACATGGAGATTGAGGAAAGTTGAATATAAAGGGAAAGAGAGATTTGAAAGATAGGTGAGATTAACAAGTCACACTAGAACATTTTTGGAGAAAACATAGCTCACAGCTAAATTAATGGTAAAAAGTTATTAAGTATTACCTCCTATTAAAGACATTAGATTATTCTTGTCTTTGAAGTTGTTGATGCAAATGAGCATGAAGTTTCTATACATTCTTCATATGCAAATAAAATTAAATAGTCCCTCCTTGTTGACCTTCAAGAAAAAACTTTGTATTTATTCCATTTGGAGCCAATTCTACTTGGTAAAACTATATTATGTGCACCACACTAGGGTGGCACAGGGGAGAAAGTAATTGATTCTGACTAGGAAGGTATTTCATTTCTACTGGATTTTATAAGTATTTAGTTTCGTATTTAATGAATTTTAATTAAATTTTATTGTTATTACTACTACTTTTATCATTTTGGATTAAGATATCAGATTTTCATGATCAGTTAGAGAAAGCAGCATGGTGTAGTGGTTCATTAACACAGCTCTGGATAGAGACTGGCAGCATCTGTACGCCAGCTCTGGAACATGCAGTTACTCCATTCTCTATGCCTTTTACTCATCTGAAAATTTTACAAAGAATGAATGTGTTAACCTTAGAGTAATATGCACTGATATATTAGAGTTAGCTTTTATTTTAATCTGTTTTTTTTTTTTTACTTCAAAATCAATGATAGAACTATACAAAGCAATGGTAGAACTATACAAAGGAATTGAGGACAGAATATTTGTATTTTAGAAATAGGTGCTCAAATTTTCTATGTGATTTTCCGCCGCTTTGATCTCAGTTCATTCTCGACTTGATGTGCTTATTTTTGCATAATACAAGTTAGAAATTGAAAATGGATTCATGGCTTAATTATAAATTCCACCATCATATTTAGTAGTTTTGCATTTAATACGCAAAGTCATTTAATATAAAGCTAACATTAAGTATGTAAAATGTATAGTTAATCCTGAAATCTATCTCTTTCAAAATTTGTTCAGAATGTCAGAATCTCGGAGGAGCATTTGTCATATAATATTAATGCACAGTAGAATATAATTCTGACCTCTGTTCTCTTTGTTATATTTCACTGAATGAGTTTTAGAGTGCTCTCAAGTTAATCTCATTTAAATTCTTTCTTACAGTATACTGGGTTAATTCAACCACCATCTACCCATCCATGCAGCAAAATAGTTATTAAATATTTTATTCATGCAATTTACATTTGCAGGTCACTGGAAATAATTTACCAAACAGTACTTGATAATGGAGTTTATATCACATCAGAGATGACTTGTCAGTTAAGGTAACAGCTATAGCAAAGAGGATTTAATCACTAGGAAACATAATATCCCAGTGACCTTTCTTCCTGTTCAATGTTAAATATTTTCTTTTGTATCATTCATTTCTCTATGAATTCTCTGCATTAAGCATGGAAATACTTGAGTTGTTTTTATGGGACTCTATTCTATATACACGAGAAGATGCTATTAGCAAAGATGTTTCACTGGTAACAGGAACTGTGTGTAGTAAAGAGACACACCATTTGCAGAGGAGAAGTGGGAAGGGGGAAGCTTACAGGAACATGCCGCCGCAGGTTTGTTGGTGTGCTGGATGGAGAGGAGCTGGTGCTGAGAGCATTCTCGATGTCCTGGTCAAGTTGGTCCAGTTTCATAATTAGCAGCACCATGGAGTCCAGTCGCGCTTTATCTCGATCTTCTCTCATTTCCTGAGGAACAGAACATGTTGTTACTGAACTTGAAAGGCCATTTCTTGGAAAGAATAAAAAGTTCCCTGTTCTTCAATGTGACAAAAAGGACACTGGATAATAGGCAGTGTTCTACTTAAGGAGGAAGGGAAGTTCTATTCTGCATCATCAATGGGCTCTTCATGGGGAGGATACTGATCTAGTGCCAAGAAAGCATTTTACATGAATATTAAATATATGAAAAAAGTGTAATAACAATGATGCTGATACATGTTTCCCCATTGCCAGTTAATTAGCCTTCAGAAAAGATATATTAGTTTTCTTTTTTTGCACAGTACAAATTGATTATTTACAAGCTACTAATCATTTTTTTTTTTTGTGTGTGTGTGGCTAGACAGTTAAGAATGTATGTGAGAGAATATTTTTGACAGAATGTTTCTGAATTTACAAAAAACTAGATTGAAGCAAGGAAAGTGTTTGGTTTGTTCAGCAGGCAATTTTTCTTGAATGGAGCATTTACTTACTACTACTTCAAACTAAGTCATATGTCACTGACTATATATATATATATATAAAATCTCAATATTACAGAACATTGTTATGTCAAAGGAGTGGTATTTATAGTGCTTATAACTTAAAAGAAAGTCATATACATGATGTGTGATATATATACATATATATATATATGTATATATATCATTGATTTCTTATTCTGAGTACTCTGGAATACAGACTTATAATTCTGGAAATGTGCTGGTCTATTGGAGCAGCTAAAGCTTCTCACAGTCCTTGTAGGTTTACTTGGAAATGGTTCTTTATTACTCCTTCAAATCAAGTTAGTTAGTATCAGGAGTCTTTCAAATTCTTTGCAGTGTTCTGGGGATCAGGCTTGGGTAGAAAGAAGGAAAAAGACCATGGAAAACAAAGGTAGGTTCTTTAGAAGCAAAATCTATTGAGAGACTTGTGGACTGAGGGCAAGCCCATTTGAGATAAATCATCATTTGGAGTTGCCAACCTCCCATCTGTCCAAGATATTTATTTGGTGATACCAGCTTTGAAAGGACCACAAGTGGCCAACTTCAAAGGGGAAATAATCATGATGTGATCCTTAGGGCATGTCTACACAAGGGTAGCAGGTTGGGGCTTTGTTTCCCTGATGACATTAGTCATGGGAGGAATGTGATGACTGCCTGAATCAGACCTTCTATTGTGCTTTTGGCATTTCTTCTAATCCTTTCAAATTTCCCATTGGGAGGCACTCCCAAATAACAGGGTAATTTCACGGATTAATCTAATTCTACAGGAATCTCTATGCCTTAAACAACCAGAGCAGATTGCTAATCTTACAGAGGCATTATTTTTCAGAGGTAAAATAATTAGTTTACAAGATTAAGTTGGTCAGAGAATTAATTACTTAAGCTAATATTAGGTAAATTTTCTTTTTTTTTAAAAAAAGAACTTGAACTTGGTTTAACGGATTAACACATATTGTACGAATTACTCCTGTTTCCACAAAGACATTGCTTTAGAGAATAAATTAAGAACTTTATGCCATGACCCAATTCCTTCAGAATACTAACAATTATTATGGTTTCAGTTTCTTCCCATTGTCCCTGCTGATTAAGCTCTGACAGAGAATCATGAACTTTGGTTATCATAAAGTTTTACTGTGCTTAAAAGTATATATGGTATTTGCGAACAAATCTGAAACTTTATGTAATATCTCTCAACATGATAGAACATTATTATATCAAAGGAGGGTTATTTATAGTGCTTATAACCTAAAAGAAAGTCCCAGAAAAATTAGAGATTATTCCATTTAATACCCTTGTAAGTGTCCCCCCAAATGGAAGTCTGGCTGGATAGTAATTAAGTCCCCTTAATGACTCTTCCAGTGTTTTTGCTTATATAATTTCCTTCTCTATTAAACTATAGTTGTCCTTGACAAGATGATTTTCTTTGCATCTTCTTATCCACATATGGTTTTTGTGTAATTGTCTTTTATTTGTCAGTTATATCCTCAAGGACAAAGATTAAGTTTTTCTACCTGGCAAACAATTTAGAATTAAGTTATACACTGCACATGTAATACATTTTCAGGACAAATACCAATGAAATCAATAGAAGCCTGTGAAATAATGCCTCCCAAGCCTTAGAAAATATATCTTCATATTTTTCCAGCTACTAAGTTAATGTTGGACACAGCAATACACCCTGAAGCTATCTTGGGCTTATCAGCAGTAGTCTCAAAATGAATTTGTCTTTGAATTAACTGGATACTGAGTTTATGCTTTAAAAACATTTTCAAATCCATTGGATGAGCATTAAATGCTTTCAAACATTTGCCAAAAGGCTAAAACCAAACAGTCTTGCTCTATGATACAGAATTGTGGTTTTTTCTTCTTTTTTAGGGCTGGGGATTGAACCCAGAGCCTGGTGCATGCAAGACAAGCACTCTACCAACTGAGCTATATCCCCAGCCCCTCTATGATACAGTTTTAGAGAAATAGCCCTGTTTCTTTTCCCTTTCTTTCAGGAATACCTCAGGGTTCACCATTTATATTCAGCCTGGGGTGTCAAGTATTTCTTGTGTTGCACATTTATAAAACCTTGCAAGATGGACCAGCTATAGATCTGATACTTCAGCTAAAAATCATTAGGCCTTATTTTGAAATCATAGGTATTACTATTTCTAAAGTTCTAACAGTTCATATATCCACGTCTAAACTCTGGAAATTAGCTCACACCTGAAAACAGAGAGTGTGTTTGCAGATTTTGGCTATGTTGACTTCTTCAATGGAGATTTAATTTCATTCTGTTACAACAATCCATGAAGAGAAAGCTTAATAAGTGAAATTACCTATCCATGAAATCAGTATTGATTTCAAATCAAGGCCAAGGTGTTAATTCTCTTCCCTCCCATATTTCCTTTCTTCTTTACTTTCATTACAGCTGTTCTGGGTAAATCAGCATTATTATTATTATCATCATCATCATTGGTTTTGAACGAAGGAGCACCCTCTCACTGAGTTATATCTCCAGCCCTTTTAAAATTTTTTATTTTGAGACATAGTCTGTCTCATTTGCTTATAGGCAAAATATTACTAATGGGACTAAATATCCATCACTGAACAAGACAGATAAGACCCCTGTTTTCCTGAATAATATCACCAACTATGGGAATATAGACAATGAACATTAAAAAATTCACATATAAATACCCTCAAATGGGAACAAGTGTATAAAAAAATAGGGTAATGATATATAAGTAACTGTAGGAGGAGTGCCCTACTTTATACAGGATAGTCAGAAAAGAGCTTTCTGCAGAAGAGAGAGTCGAGGTGGGGGATGAGATGGAAGAGATGATGGAGGTATATGGAGATAGGGAGGGAGGGAGGGAGAGAAGGAGAGGAGGAGGAGAAGAGGAGGAAAGAGGGGATGAGGAGAAAGAGAACTGGGAAATTGGTATTTCAGGTGGAGTAAGGAGTGATACAATGATAACAAGATGGAAATGAATGAATTTGGTCAATAAGAAGATCAGAAAAAAGGCTAGGTATGTGAAGGAGGACACGTGGGAGGAAGAGGGAGTGAAGGCTCCTGCAAAGTGAGGCTGGAGCCAAATGGGAGCCAGAGCATCGTCTGCTTTGGAGTTCATGGTCAAGTGGTAAACGTCACTCTTTGTGCAATGGAGACCACTAGCAGCATGTGAGAAAATTACTGAGTTATTGTCTCATAAACTTTTAGATTTCTCATTACACACTGGCAATGAAAGATATTTTTGTAATGTTTTAAAAAATTCATTATGATTTACATTATATTTATAATTTTGAATAAGTCAAAACATCTTTAAGCTTTCCAGTATCTTTCTTAGATACCCCACCCAACAGCTAAGAAATACAGGAGTTCAGAATTGCAGTTACCAGCTCCAGTGTCCTGATTTTGCCGATGAGGAAACTGAACTCTAGGGATATTCTAAGTCCAAGTCAATCCTGCGTTGGTAAATCTGAGCCCAGAACCTGGCTCTCTCACACTCTGCCCTGGTCTCTCCAACATTCCATTTTGTTTTCCTTCCATACATAACATTTTAAATTAATGCCCTCATGGGTATCATGTGTACTCTTCTCAACTCTTGCAGTCTGGTTTTTGTTTTTGCAGGAACATTGTTTTTGAAGAGCTCCAATGACTGAAACAATCAATTGGAAAAAACAAACAAACAAACAAACAAAACCTTTGAAACTCTCTTGTCCAGTTCTTTAAATTTTTATTTAACAATTTTCAAAGATCTGTTGTATGTTTGTACTACGTGTTGTATTTACTGTTGACTAGGAAGCAACCTATTTTATATAAGTGCAGCTATAATTTTTAAAACTGTAAAAAGTAAAATTTTGTCTTACTCTGAGTTCCCAGTTTTTTTTTCCTCCAGAACTAGACAGAATAAGTGGTGTCTGTTCCCAAAACAGCATTTCAAATATATGAAGAACTACATTGTGCTCAACTTTTTCCTTTTTAGGGGAAACATCCTCAGTTCCTTATTTGTGGGGTGGGTGGTGCTGAGGATGGAACCCTGGACCTTCACATGGTAGGCACACACTTTACCACTGAGCTACATGCTCAGGCCATAGTTCATTTCATCATTTCTCACATGACACGTTTTCAAATCTTTATTAGTTCTGTTTATTCTTCTCTGAACATGACAGAATTCTGTCAATTATCTAATTAATGGTTGGTGCCTGGAATGAAATACATGACTTTGTGTGTTCTCTGGCCAGGGTGGAAGAGAGAAGTGCTGCCCCATGTTCTGTGTACCCTCTTTCACTCAGCCTAAGGATCTAGTGCCTGTTTAGAACACAAACAGGCTATTCTTAATGGGACAGCCAGAGTCTGCTTTTTTAATGAGGAAAAAACATTTAGTTAACTGTGAGCTGAACTTAGTCAACGGTGTGATATATGTCTTCTTTTCCTAGTACGTGCCTGTGTAGTGCTAAGACAGAAACTTCCTGTTGCCTTGAGACTGCAACCAG